GGGTTAATATCATCAGTCATCAAATAGTTATTTTTTGTATTTATTTAATTATTTGAAAGAAGAAAAATTAAATACAATTTAAAATAAACTTTTCATAATTAACTAATAAAAGTGGAATTCTTTAGGCTATTAATTAATTAAGATGTGTTTTTCTTTATGCACTCAAAAGTTTTTCTGAGGTAAATTTGTTATATCCATTTTTTGATTCTCACCATAAATTTTACTACAACTTTTAATAAAGAAATTTTACATTAAAAAATTTGGATACCCAATGCTTTCTTATAAAAGAAATAGTTGTGTTAGAGGTCACAATGCATAGTGCCAAAATTGCCACTTGGTGATATTTTTATTAAACTATTTGATGGTCAAAGTTTTCTCCATTGCGTGTGACACTGTGTTAAATGTTCCCGTCACTGTTAAGCCTAACAAAAATTACACGTTTTTGAAAAGAATAATTGTGGCTATTATATTGTCCGAAATTATTTTTTTATTTTGCACAAACAAAATAGATATACAGTGGAACCCCGGTTAACGAACGTCCTGGTTAACGACCAAATCGGTTAACGAACTTTTATTTTGCAAAAATTTTGTCTCAGATAACGAACAAAATTCGGATAATGAATGTGACAGTATATTGTGTCAAATTTCAGTTGGTGTTAGGCATGCGCGAATTAAGCATTGCTTTTCCGAGTGTTTGTGCTATACTTCTTTTTTTCAGTTTTGTGATTTATATATTTAATCAATATGGTATCAAAGAAAGAAAAAATTCATAGTGGCAATAGAAAACGACAATGCGCTATCGCATTTGAGAAAAATTTTCATTAAAAGAGTAAGACAATCTTTAGATCAATTTCTTGTTCCTTACGGAAAGAGTTTGTTTCATTGTTAAGTTATGGCAACGCAACACTTGGGCAATCTGACTAGGGTGAAATGCCTTCTGGGAGGTGTTTTTAAGGGAAACTGGCCCCTATTTAGGCGTTACAGATGTGGATAAATCCCAGAAAACTCCACGTAGCCAGCCCGTCTCAGCAAGGTGCGAACCCACGAACAAACTCCCCGTGTTCAAGGTACGAAGACCACTTAGCCACTGGTGGGTTTTTATCGAAAGAGACTTCGACTCGAAGAATCTTCCGATGAAGTGCTACCCGTTATTTTTTTGGAGGGGATTCCCCTTCTAATCATTAAGGTTCGTATATCTTCACTTTTCTCCACCAACTACAACAAACGAAGGTATTATTAAACAAAGTTTACATGTTTGTTGCTGTAATGATAGATACTACATTTTCCTACATTTTCATCAAAGAAAATTACTGTATATTTCAAATAAAATGACAAAAATTTTGGAGACTAGAACGAATTAATTGCATTTGCATTAATTTCTATGGGAAAAATTGCTTCGGTTAACGAACAATTCAGTTAACGAATGGAGTCGCAGAATGGATTAAGTTCGTTAACCGGGGTTCCACTGTAATAAATGTAATACCCAAAAAAATTATATTTTGAAAGTTAGTTTTAATATAAAAATTATAATGACTAATGACATCTAGTTTCAAAAATGTTCCGATGCTACAACAAGATATCTTGGGTCAACTGGTTGAGGTCAGAGGTCACGACCTCAGATATCTCGGGAATAACACAGGATAGGTTAAGAAATCATTATATGCTAAGAAAATTATGTGATTTAGGTTCATAAATTTTTAATTTTATTAAAAGTTAGTTTGAATTTCAAATTCTTATTTTGGAATTTGAAAACTCGTGCACTTTTAAATTTGAAATTACAATTACATCTGTAAACTTAAAAGTGTATTATCAATTTAGGTAGTATCCTTTGAAGACATGAAATCATCCAGTGATGGGATTGCAATTCATAAACCAATAACATGTTCAGCACATTCAGGTGAATCACTGAAGTATTACTGCCATACTTGTGAGGTAAATTATTTTTAGTATTTTTATTTATGATGTATACATTAATATTGGTGGGGAATATTATTTTTGAGAGTAATCAATTTGGAGATTTTTTCTACAATATAATTCAATGTAACTTAGGTTCTTATTTTCATTATAATNAAAAGAACAAGAATTTCAGAAAAGTCGGGACCTTCGTCACAAAAAGTGAACTTTACACTTCTGTGTACATATGTTGATGTGTTATTTAACATATATTATTATACAAATTAATATAAAAAATAACTTAAAATTAAAGTAAAATTTGTTTATTTTTGGTCAAGTATTCACCTATCCCTATTTATTCTATCTTAAAATGACCTCGTTTAACACTGTTTTGCTTAACACTTTGTCGTCTAGGAATGATTCCCTGCATTAAGTGTGGTCTTACTGTATCACCATTCCCATGTTTAATAATAATGTGTGCTTTGAGAAATCCTATGTCAAAATAAGTATTTTGAATAAAGTGTTTTACTTATCCTTATGACCCTTCCTCCCTGATTACCATGAGTTGCTTGTGTTCAGCAGTAAAGACTTTCTTAACTTTTCAGATGTGGGTTAGTCAGACATGGTGCTATCCCTATGTAGTGGAGAATAAATGTGGGAAATTTTTTACGTATTTTTCCACGCGTTTTTTCTCATTATTCTTTCAGAAAAAGATTTTGTAAACAGTTATGTCTAGTAAAGGAAAGTCTTTTTTTTATTGTTACATAATTCCTTTTTTATGTGAATTTTTTCACGGTAATTTTTGGCTAGCTTTTGGCAATATCCACAAAAGAATTTTGCGAATATATCTGTAGGTCACTGCTGAGGGGTTAATAAGCACCTGGTAATATTACAACAGCTGTTTTCTGAGTGTTACAGGAAAAAACAGTCTGGCAATTTCAAAAATATTTTCTGACAGAATATACTTTCTTAATAACTTAGTCATAATATCATAACTTCAATAACTTAGTCATAATATCATAATATGTCAACATTAATCAAAACAAATCAAATTTACTTCAGAAAGTGCTCGAATAATCTTCCAATCTTCTCTTGCAAATCCAGGTGGATTATTTGCAGTGATTGTCTGTTGGGCCCGACCTTCCGTATTGACATATGTTGCCTGTTTCTCAGTATAAGCAGCACCAGGAAGAATGACATCAGCCATTTCAGCTCCTCTGTCACCGTGATGACCTGAATAAGTATTCATATTTTATCTTATTCCAATAATTGGAAACTCAAATTTAAAAAAATATATAGAAATTATTAAAGTAATTATTTAATAAACAATATTAACTGAAAAAATATTGTTTAAATTAACTTTATAAATCAACTGACACTTCAACAGAATTACAATTATAATGTCCTATACTGTCCTATACCAGAGGTGGCAAACGTGCTCAAAGTGGCACATAAAGAGATCTGGCACATAATGTACCATATGACTTCGATTTATCATCTGTCTTTTTCAATCCTCCTTTCAGTTTATCAACTGATCATCCTTTTTTCAATCAGCTTTTTTACATTTATTCTAATTAAAGCATATTCGTTTAATGTATTTAAATATTGTTATTCAAAGTCTACAACTTTGGCATGCATAAACATCTTTAAAGCGAAGTACACTTACTATATGGCATGCTGGCTCAAAAAGGTTTGCCACCCATCCTATACTATCTGAACATATAAAATTTGATTTTTCCAAAATTATATGAACTTTATATATCTTGTAATCACTACAGTTATTTGTTATGAAAGTAAACATACAAATATTAATTGATAAATAAAGTCTCTATTTTTAAACGATTGGTTTGAGAAAGGTTTAGTATCATCTATTTTCATTGTGAATATTTAGTTTTTAACTTCATCACTGTTCAATGATGCATTTTTCCAAACATTTGATCCATTTTTACATTCTGTACATAAAAACTTTCTGGTTTTTCCCCAGTCTGTTCCTATACTGCACCTTAAACTTTGTTTCCAATAAAAAAAATGTCAACCTTTCAACACTTCAATTTAATTAAACTTTTAATGACTAGAAGTTAAACAGTGTCAGATCAGGACAATAAGGAGAGAACAGAAAAATCTGTAACTTTGGATTTGAATGTCTTTGCTATTTTCTTAACAAAGTACAGTCTGGCATTGATGTGATACAAAAAAGATAGTTCTTTCCAGAATTTTACAATACAACTTTGACTGTTTCTCCTTTACTAGATCACTTCTTTGCATGGAACAAGGAAAATAAGTTCATGTTTAAATTTGATACAACACAGTCAACTGAGACTTTGTGTATACAGAACACACACTTGTGACTACTAAATGGTTGTAGTCGCAAGTTTCTATCTTTGCATTTAACAGAATATTGTGCTAGCAATCCTATTTATCAATCAGTTTTTGTATTATTTTTTATTGTGATTTTGTTTTTTTTAATTTCCAGAAAGGTAAACACATATTTTAGTCAATAAGAAATATTTAGCTATTTACTCTGATATATTTAGCATATCACTAAATATAAATTTAATTATGAATACAAAATCAATATAAATGAAACAACTTTTTAATTTTTTATGAAATTGAAGCTATAATTAATAAATAAAAATAATTACGATTTTTACAAGAATTAATTACCTTGAAAAATGATAAAACAATTCTCAGGAATGTCAGTTTTTGTAATAATGCCTTCATCAGCTCCAAGCAAATATAATACTTTAGGAGGATTGTCACGTATATATTGAATTCCAGGCTTATATCCAATATCTAGAGCAGCAACTTGACTTGCTACCTAAAGCAATAAAAAATAAGTTTTTTCTTTATAATATTCATATGAATATAACAAGATATATTTATCCTAGTCAAAATGTGTGACATGTTTGTTATGACAGAAACAAAGTTAATATTGTAAAAAACACCAGCATATTTAAATATATAAATATAGAGCAGTAATATCCACAATCAATAGTATAAGGAGTTGTTTTGCCAAGTCTAACTTAGACTTGCCAAACTCTTCATGCTACTTCCCCAAGTTATAACTTTATTATATATAGAGTGATCAAATGAAAGTAGAAGAAATTGTCTGCGCATGCAAGTTTCATAATATAAAATTTAGACAAAATATAGATGAAGAGTTGTAAGCAGAGTTTAAAATCTGCTACCCATTAGCACCACTTCCCTTAACTCCCCACAGCTGCAATGGTCAAGAATTCGAGGAACTGAGGGGGTCACAAAGGGGAAGAGATCGCTTGATCAGGGGATAGAGGAGAGTAAAGTCCCCACCTTGCAGACGGGACATCTGGAAAACAGATGTTAAATTCATCCGCCCTTCAAATCACTGTTCCTTTTTGTTAAAGTGTAGCAGTCTGAATATTTGTAATATTACAAATTGGCGCAGTCGACAGGATCTCAGTACACAGTTAAGTTTATATAGTTTTGAAGTAGAAGTAGAATAGAATTATGCTTTTCAAATTCTTAGTACAGAGGATCGAAGATTCCTACATTATCTCCCGATATCAAGTAGATGGGGAGACGAATGGACAGAAGTCGATCAAGAATTTCAAGGAATCGAAAATCATCCAGCTATTTCATCCTCGGCGGTTTTTCAAACTGCTAGCCGGATGATGACGAATTACCGGACACTAACTATTTCATTATCGGAGACAGAAGGTGAGCTTTATCTTGATAAGACTTTACTAAGACCGGCCGCTACGGACAGTACTCCTCCTACGGACAGTTCACGTGACCCGAAGTCGGATGTGTTGGCGCAAATGGTTCAGTTGCAAAAGCTGTACATGGACCAACAAGCCGAGACGTTGAAGATTATGAACTCTTTTCGGCATACCATCAAAAAAATGTCACTAAACCCATCACGTGATACAATCAATATAGAAAAATATGATGGAAAATTGGAGGAAGTGCATATTTGGATAATTTCATACGAACATGCGTGTGCATCTCACAAATGGGTTACCGACGAACAAAAGATTCGTAACCTTCGAAATTACTTGGAGGGTAAAATGGTACAATTCTCGAGTACTAGATAGGGTCAGTGATAATTGGGAGAAATGGAAAAACTCTTTTCTTAGTGCATTCGGACAGAATCGAATCCAACTGTCCATATCAGCGGATATGTGGGAATATCGTGGTGGTTCACTATTAGAATATTATTTTCAAAACAACGGCGTATCCAATTTGCATATCCGGATATTGGGAAACAAAGCTTTATCACCATGGTAATGCGTGGACTACCTGCGGATATGCAAGCTATTCTTCTACAACACAATTTTAATGATAAAGAAGACTTACGTGTCGGATTGAGCAAATTGGTACCTACCAAAAAATCGGTACCAAGGAAAATCGAAAGAAGGGATAATAATATGCGTGGTAACCAAAGTTTTACCTCTGTGAATGAAATTGATAGTGGTCTCCCTTCCGGTAGAAACTATTTGAATGAGAATCTGGAAAATAGGGAAGATGCAAAAAATGAGTAAAGAAGGGTTTACCAATCCCTCTGACAAAATCGGACCATTGTTTATTCACGGAACATAATGATCCTCGTGTTTTCTCAATGGAAGTGAATAACGTGCATTGTGCAGTTTTTTTTGATCCAGGATCCACGGTCAACTTAATTAGTCCTAAACTAGTAGATAAATGCAAACTAAAATCCTACCCAATACATACAGTCTTAAAATCATTTAATGGAGCACTCATGGTATATAAAGAAGGTGTGTTGGCCACTATAAATTTTAGAGATCGAACTCAACACATAGAAGCAATTATCGTTAAGGAAATGGACTATGAACTTTTGCTAGGGATCCACACATTGGAAAAACTCAATATCTGTTGGAATTTTGGTAAGCAGGAAGTCTTATTAGCTAAAACAGACAAAATTATACTACAAAAAGAAGAAGTTTTGCGGCATTTTCCGGGCATCGATCAACCCGATTATTCCAGACCACCTAAGTTCACTGTCGATTTTAATTTAACAGATACGAAGGTGCTTAAATGTAAACCCTATCGGTTGTCTCGTGACAAATATCAGTGGTTAAGGATCAAAATAAAAGACNAGTTTTCTCCATTGCATGTGGCATCATGTTGAATTTTCGTTGATGTTAAGCCTAATGAAAATTACACTTTTTTGAAAAGAATAATTGTGGCTATTGTATCATCCAAAATTATGTTTTTATTTTGCACAAACAAAATATTAATAAATGTAATACCCAAAAAAATTATATTTTGAAAGTTAGTTTTAATATAAAAATTATAATGACTAATGACATCTAGTTTCAAAAACATTCCAATGCAACAATACCAGAGATAGCAAATGGTAATAAAATTCCTAGTCTGCTTATTTTGAAATTTAGCGTAAAATTGAATAAAAAATCACAGGAAATACATCAGAATGTCAAGCTCCTGTGAGAAAGAAGTCATGTGCATCATACATTTAGTGATTTCATAACATCATGTGGTAAGTTTGAGCAGAAAAGTAGGAAGCAACATTGAGAACGGAAGGCAGTTTTTGTGCAATGCTGTCCAGCGTTTCCAAATTGAAGATGTTTTTATCAACTGACAGAAAACTTGGGGTATGTTTTGGGATGACTTTTTTCCACTTTGTTCTTTTTTTCAGTGTACTGAAACAAAAATTTTGATATGACAGAACATGTGAAATACCATTTAAGCATTGTAATCAACTGTGTTATTTGGAATTATTCATTAAAAAATTATTTCTACTGCTAACAAGGAGAGGGCCAAACATTCAGGTCTTTGATTCAAATGAAACATGGTGAGCATGTAGCCTTAAATACAAACAGTTCCTTGTCTAAATAATAAGACCCACTTTTCAAGCATTTCCAAAAAATGGGCCTCTGAAAATCAAGTGTTTAGCTTATAAGTCTTTGGAAGCTTTGCTTCTTGTTGTGATGATCATGGCTGAGTGAATAAGATGCTAGGCAGTGGAGCTACATGATGTGGATTCAAACCTTTGCAATTTTAGTTTTTTTTTTGCATAACAAAATTATATTATTATTACCATATCATTAGCATTATTATTATTCCTCATGTTTAGTGAAAATTTCTGTCATTTCCTGTTTAGTGAAAATGAAGTCTCTGAAGATTTAACTCTTACATCGTTAAATAAAATTTTTATTTCTTTATATTTTCAGATATGATGGTATTGTTATATATGAAGTTTAACAAACACAAACACATGAGGAAATTGTCCATAATATTAAAAATAAAAAATAAAATAAAACACTATGACTATGCTACCCTATTTTCATATCACTTGTGATTTTATCCATGTGCAATAAAGTCTGAAACTTATTCACTTGTGAGGACATAGTATATGATCACAAGCAAAAATGTATGAAAATAAATATCTGTAAGGATGGTATTTTTTTAATTTTTGAAGGTAAGATTTTTAAATGAAAAAGTGAATAATACAGTAAAAAATTACCATTAATATGCGAGAAAATCCAAATATTTAATTAAATACACTCACTCGATGTAAAATGTTTAAAACTTTCCAATCACTTTCACATTTCAATTGGCACTGATCAGCAAACTTTCTTACTGCACTATAAATAGAAGTGTTATCTTTTCGTTGAAGTATGGAACTTCCAACAATTATTAATGGTTTTTTGGCATTTGCTAATTTCTGAAATACAGAAACGAAGTTTTATATTATAAATTATTATATAAATTTAATGTTATAAATTTGTTCGACTTTAGATCGACTTAAACAGAAAGACGTTATAAAGAAGACTTACGTGTCGGATTGAGCAAATTGGTACCTACCAAAAAATCGGTACCAAGGAAAATCGAAAGAAGGGATAATAATATGCGTGGTAACCAAAGTTTTACCTCTGTGAATGAAATTGATAGTGGTCTCCCTTCCGGTAGAAACTATTTGAATGAGAATCTGGAAAATAGGGAAGATGCAAAAAATGAGTAAAGAAGGGTTTACCAATCCCTCTGACAAAATCGGACCATTGTTTATTCACGGAACATAATGATCCTCGTGTTTTCTCAATGGAAGTGAATAACGTGCATTGTGCAGTTTTTTTTGATCCAGGATCCACGGTCAACTTAATTAGTCCTAAACTAGTAGATAAATGCAAACTAAAATCCTACCCAATACATACAGTCTTAAAATCATTTAATGGAGCACTCATGGTATATAAAGAAGGTGTGTTGGCCACTATAAATTTTAGAGATCGAACTCAACACATAGAAGCAATTATCGTTAAGGAAATGGACTATGAACTTTTGCTAGGGATCCACACATTGGAAAAACTCAATATCTGTTGGAATTTTGGTAAGCAGGAAGTCTTATTAGCTAAAACAGACAAAATTATACTACAAAAAGAAGAAGTTTTGCGGCATTTTCCGGGCATCGATCAACCCGATTATTCCAGACCACCTAAGTTCACTGTCGATTTTAATTTAACAGATACGAAGGTGCTTAAATGTAAACCCTATCGGTTGTCTCGTGACAAATATCAGTGGTTAAGGATCAAAATAAAAGACGTGTTAGCACAAGGCATAATAGAAGAAACATCATCTCCTTATGCTTCTCCTTGTGTTGTTCTTCCCAAAGGGAATGGCGATTATAGATTGGCTCACAACTATATGAAAATCAACAAAGTGACGGAATTGGATCCTTATCCCTTTCCTTTAATAGATATCATCATCAATGGATTCAGAGGATGTAAATATTTTACAAAATTGGACTTAAAAGATGGATTTTGGCAGATTGGAATTAGTGAGAGACTAGAAAGTATATGGCGTTTGTCACCCCATTTGGACACTATCAGTATACTCGTTTGCCTCAAGGTTGGAAAAATTCTCCAGCATTATTCCAAAAAGTTATGAATAAGGTACTGGGGGACCTCTTGGATAATGAAAAAGTCTGGAATTATATCGATGATATAAGCACGGGCTGACAATAAAACAAGTAATGCGGAGCTCACCTATCGAGTATTAGAGAGGCTATACAACGCAAACTTTGTTATAAACCTAAATAAATCAGAATTTAATGTAAATAAAATCAAATTCTTGGGAAGAGTTATAGATAGTTTTAGCAAAACTACAGCAACAGAGTCAATCGAAAAAGTCCGTAATATGCCTCGGCCCCATGATCTTCACACGGTAAGGTGTTTCACGGGACTGACTGGACACTTTTGTGCCTTTATTCTGAATTATGCCGCTATTGTTCGACTTTAGATCGACTTAAACAGAAAGACGTTCCCTTCGAGTGGACAAAAGAATGTGAGCAAGCCTATCAAGAATTGATTCAAAGAATTATATCAAATCCTATATTACAAACTCCTGATTGGAAGCTGAACTTCGAGCTTTGTACCGATGCATCCCATTATGGCTGCGGCTCCATATTATACCAGCGGGACACCGATGCGATATGGGGAAGACAATTACGAGTGATAGGATACCAATCATATACTTTTACGTCAGCAGAGGTTAACTACAGCACAACTGAAAAGGGGTGTTTAGCCGTGATCAAGGCGATTAAATATTTTCAAAGTTTCTTGGAGGGAAGGAAATTCACCGTGCATACCGATCACCAAGCGCTTACCTTTTTAATTGAATTAAAAGATCCGAAAGGAAGGTTAGGTCGGTGGCAAGTCTTTCTACAAACCTATGATATGAAAATTAACCACTGCTCTGGAAAAGAATTGACAGACGCGGATGCCATCTCCAGATTGTGTCCTCACGTGAAATCTATGCCAGTCCACCAAATCGACAAACACAAATGGCAGAAGACCAAGAATAAAGAGTTGATTGTCCTGAAAAATACTCAAAACAGCATTATGAAGCAGTATCATGATGATCCGGACAGTGGGGGTCATGATGGGTTTTGGAGGACTTATTATAAATTAAGGGCACAGTTCTGGTGGCCTAACATGAGACAAAGTATCCAATGTTACGTGCAGACCTGTCCGATATGTCAATCCGTCAAGTTTAAATACCGACCCCCGTCAAGACCAACTCTATTTACCCCCACAATCAAAAACACCATTCAATACGGTACACATTGATTTTGCAGAGCTTCAGAAACGAAGCAAAGGGGTAAGAACGACTAAATCACTTCTAGTGGTCATAGACGAAGCTACGCGGATAACTTATGCTAAAGCTATGAAGGAGGTGAGCGTAGTGTCATCCGTTATTTGGATAAATTACCATTAAACAATAAGGTAACTACTATCATCAGCGATTGCAGATCTACCTTTAAATCGGAGAGTTTCAAGCAATGGGCCAGAGACAGGAATATCACATTAAAAACCACATCCCCTTATCATGCTGCGGGAAACAGAGTATGTGAGAGAAAGATACGGGATCTCAAGAAATTCCTTAATTGCTATCCAGATTTCAAAGGCGGATGGAAAACTTGCTTGGATGCTGCAGTTCGCCACGAAAATCGTAGCTACAACTCTTATTTAGGTTGCTCTCCATTATTCAAATGGCAACGTACAGTTGTTAAACTGGAGGCTGACAGCGAATTNTTAATATTTGTACAATTTTATTGAAAACTTTTTTCAATTTCTTAATATTTTATATTAAAATACATTATTTAATTTCTTGTTATACAGGATGTGGAGGGAAACAGGCAATTATGAATAGATGGTTTTATCTTTTGAATGTTTATTATGAAATTTTCTAATACAAGATTTCAAAGAATATAATTTGCCATTTCAACTTAGAAGATGACATCACCCAAGTGACTCATTCATGCGCAGACACTCTTCACATATTAAACATATATCATGCATGCACAACATATTCTTGAGTATGTTACTGATTGAGTGAGGAATTTTTTCATTAAGAATGGGCAATCTTCATATAGTACAGTCTTTGTTCATAAAGTATTGCAATTTTTAAGGCAAAAATTCCTTACAATTAATAACATACCCGAGAATAATATTGTGCCACTCTATACATGACATTCTTTGAAGATGTTAAGAGTCTGCACATGACATCATTCAAGTGGCCTTCATTCATCTGCAAAACATAAATGGCACATTATACTGTTTGAAATCTTGTACTTGAAAATTTCTTGATAAATATTTTCAAAAGTTAATAACTATCTATTTATAATAACCTGGTTTCCTACCAGACTTTATATTAATTTATAATATTAAACATACTTCATAATCATAACTTAAATCCAACTTTGGGCCAATGAGTCCAACTTCAAGTTCATTGTGCAGCCATGCTTTTCTCACTCTTGCATTAATAAGTGGTGCTTCTAATCTTGGATTTGTACCAATAAATAGAACATAATCCGCATCTTCAATTCCAATAATTTTGCTATTTAGAAGATAACTGGAACGCAGATCAATCCTATAAAAAAGTATCACATATAAATTAATTAATGCTATACATTACAACACTTTTACATAATATTTATTACATTGTGTATTAGTCTAATAGTAGTCAAACATTATTTCCTTAATAGCTAAGTTTACAATAATACTTTTGGAAAAACACTCTTTAAAATCCGAAATGTCAATAGAAATTTTATTTATCTATTTAATGCTATTAGAAATTTATATAAAATAAATTAATTTAATTTAAAATATTATGGAAGAAAAAAATCTGATCAGAGTGAAACAGAAACCCCAACTCCTGCTTTAGTGAGCAAATTTGCTAACAGTTATGCTAATTGTGATTAAATTTAACACAAGCTTAACCACCTATATCTAGTCCAAATTACTTAATTGCCTGGGCAAGCAGTAAGTGAGTGCATGACTTTTGCAGTTTAGTGTCTGAGTTCAAAAAAAACATTCCCATGTTAAATTTTGATAATTTTGGTGTCAAAATGCTCAATAGAATCCTGATATGTGTATAAATTATTTCTTGGAGAATATAATTAACTCTCAGATATGATATAATCAAAAAATGCTTAATTTTTCATGCTTAATAACAAAGAGGTATTTTGACCTTTTTGTTATTAAGCTTTTTTGATTATATCTTATTTGAGAGTTAATTATATTTTCCAAGAAATAATTTTTTTTATTACACTTTTTTTTATCTGTATTTTCATCATATTTTGTTTTTTATCAACAATAAATCACTTATAATCTTTCATTTGCAACATATTACTGATCAAACTGCTTGTCTAGACTAACTACATCAATAAACATCATTTTGAGTTTCTCAATATAACTCACTTAACTAGTTAATTAACTATATTATAGCCTGGTAGGAATATGACTGTATTGTTGAGTTAGTTTTAGATGTAATTATATGAAAATATGGTAGAATGTTTTTTAGTAGCATTCCCTATCTCTATACTAACTTAACAGTTCATTCTTATTTTTAGTAAATTAATATGATAATGTTATAGTAGAATGTAGCTCATTCTTGATTATGCCTTTCCAATTTTCTATTAAATGTTAATTTTATACTCCTTTCTAGTGTATCTGATTTAATTAACAAGTTTTTAGTCATATATTTCTTATATATTTAAAAAACACATTCTTAACATGTTCACGGCATTATGAGTCACATGTGACTCATATGCACATATCTAGTTAGTGTGAAGCCCCAAAAATGAGTTGAAATTAAATATTTATTATTAGAAATTTATTAAAACAGAAACTAGAAAAAATTCGTCTATTGTTAAAAACCGATCAAAGATCGAATTAGTTGTGTTAGTCATATGAAACCGCGACGAGAGAAAAAAAAAACTTTATTGATGTAAACAGAATGTAATAATTTTAAATGATTAATTAATAATTGTAAACAAACGACCTCCAGTAGAGATGGACCTTTGAAAAGTCGTTCATATGCACATAATNGGGGTCGACTGTAGTAATTAATTTCTGTTTATTTATTTATTTATTTATTTAATATTTGCAGACTAAAAATTTACAGGTCACAAGGTGTCAATTAACTACTATGGCCTGCAGAAAAAACGTAAAATTTATTCTGGCCCATGTTATAAAAAAGGTTGCCCACCCTTGTAATATATTACAACATTCCTAAAAATGTGATATGTATAACGGAAAGTGGAATTAAGAAAATAGCTCACCTCACCAATATAAAGTTGTATCATCACAGGGGTGATGACAGGGCTAAGAAGGGGGGTGTAAGCAAAGTTTAAAATCTGCTACCTATTAGCACCACTCCCCTTAACTCCCCACATCTTCAATGGTCAAGAATTCAGAGAACTGAGGGGGTCACAAAGGGGAAGAGATCGCTTGGTCAGGGGATAGAGGAGAGTAAGGGAGCAGACGTGGATTCCCACCTAGCAGACGGGACATTCCAGATGTCCCACCTAGCAGACGGGACATCTGGAAAACAGACGTTAAATTCATCCGTCCTTAGAATCACTGTTCCTTTTTGTTAAAGTGTAGCAGTCTGAATATTTGTAATATTACAAGAGTATTAGATTTTAACACAATTTTAACAGTCCTTCATGTATTCTAAATATAACCAACTAGCTGTTACCCACAACTTCACTCACATGGATTTTGCAAGCAAACCCCATTTATATTCGGTATTTCAACAACCATAGTAATTGTTATATAACACCTACCACTGAGAATGATGAAAATTGCAGAGAATCTAACGAATTGTTTTCAATTTATAGAACGTTTACAATCGTTCTATAATCAAACCAATATGCAATAACAAATTTGAACTTAAAATGGTTTGAACATTTGGTTAAAAAATCGAGATAGATAAAAATATTTATAACAATGTCTGAAATATTATCAATTTAATATACCTAAGTACTCATGAAAACTATATGTAGTTGAAAACAATAAATCACATCTAAAGTAGTACAGTAGAAGCCATTCTTCAGGTCAAGCCTTAATCCTTCACTTCTCCCCCGTGGGGGTTTCAAAACATCCCTTCTTAGTGTGTGTTTTCATGACGTATTCTATTTACAACATTTCACCTCTTTTGGTTCAGGGGTTTGCTCTGGGTAATGATGAATCAATCAATCAATCAATCAGTCAGTCAGTCAGTCAGTAAAAGTAATTTTATATATTTAGATTGACTAAATACCTTCTTTTTTTAGTTACATAAATTTGACTATAGTATTTCTAAAAATATTGAAGTAGGTATATTAAATGCTTATTTCAGGTAGCCAACTGTTTAAATTTATCATGAAGGAATGTTTTTGTCCTGTATTAGGACAGCTTCAGCTTCCTAATGATATCAGTCACTATTCAAACTAAATTCAAACTTTTAACCTTCTAAATTTGAATAATGGAACCAGAAACCCATGAGGTAGTATTTAGAATGTTAATTTATGTTTCATAAACTAGATTCTTTTACAAAGTCTGAAAAAATGTATTTGTTACCAATACACTCACACTAATACAGTACACTAATGTATTTGTTACTATAGAGAAATTGCTTATATTTTATCTCTTATCATTTTTAGCACCAAAAGGTGATAAAGCTTTTTTATAGAATTTTGGTTTGTAGATATTTTCAGAATCATTCTATATTATTAATTATAATTTTATTATATTATTATTCTATATTGCATTTCATACAATTTATAAAATGTTTTGACTGATTGCTTTTTGCAATAATATTTATTGGAATATAATTTAAATGTGAAACTTATAAATTATTTTCAAATAATTTGTTATGAAATTATTTTTTGATAATTACAGAACTAGAATGTGATGGAAACAGATTAAATAGAACAGTTATAATTTTATAGTTTTTCAATCTGCTAATCAAATGATATTTCCAATCAGAAATTTTATTTATTTACTATTTATCCATACCGACGAC